ATATATATAGCAGTGTTTTATTTTACCAATGAGGACGAGCAACGACGCATGAAACAAGAATGTATTGTGGATATTTTAGCTGCATGTCATCTTGCAAAAAGTACAAGTACGGAGGCGGTACATGATTTTTGTTTGGTTTACGTTGCATAACTCAGAACCATTTTCAGAGGCATGGAAAACTAGTTTCATATTATTCTAGCAGAGTAGAATGAAAAATTCGTTGTCTCGAGCAAGATTCGAACTCACATCTTCGAGATTCTACATAGACTGCCACTCTACACATGCATAGAGCCGTGTTGAGTCAACGGGATGGATATAGCGAGTCGCGTCAATGGGATTGGTCGCGAATGTCTTGGGGGACAATTAAGCGTTAAGCTATGCATGCTCTCTGAAATAGAATTCAAAGCCTCTTTCATGCACTTAAATTGGATAAGACGCGCACAGTGGCAGTCTAGAAACCCGAAGGTATACGAGTTTGAATCTCGCTCTTAAAGCCATGAATTTCTCGTTGTGAAATGTATTAGCATGATTGAATAATCAGATGAAGATCCGGGCTTATGGATCGAAAGCTTTGCAATAATAAATTTACGTGGTGTTTCCACAAACAAATTTGCTCCTAAAAACAGTATTGGACTACACCTGGAGGACTTAACTAATTGACATATATTAAATACATCATTGTGTATACTTATTATGCCACGTTAACATTTATCAGTATATATACATATCATGCTGTTATTACGGAACAAAATGAACTGCTATTTCATAAACCTAATTGATAAAAAATCACAGACAAAAGCAATTCCAACAACAATCAACAACATCAAAGTATATGGCATGCGGGGTCGCACCCTTGTTAAATTATAGGGACCGAATAGATTATTTTGTCCCCTTCGCTCAAAAAATATTGAAACCTGTATAACAATCGACATGCTATCAGTTTATTGTATTGTATCAGTTTAATGTAAATCTCCAATAAGTGGAGTTTTAATTTCCTTCTAACTGACTTCACTGCATGAGTAGCTAATTGGTGTCAGTTTCTTTCTTTCCTGAAAAATTCATACTTGTACACTACTATACAATCACGTGCAAAATGATTAGGGGAAACTTTTAGTGGTAAAAAAGATTAGGGGAAAGCTGTATTCTTCACAAGCGTTTTTGAATGAAATCACTACACTGATCGCCCCTGGATTTGTGTTCCATTTAACCATTTGATTCATCAGTTCGGTCTAACCGTGTTAATGAAAGTGCCCATAATTTAAACATGCATGTATAGTTTGGGGGATTGATTGATAGAATAAATAGCTATAATGATTTTGTAGCAAACTGCATGGTAATAAAGGAACTAATTAAGGATATAATTATTTACTAATTCTAACCAAATAACCATGCAATATGGAAACTAATTCAAGACACCTGGAGGGCATGTAGTAAAACACTGACTACCGGAACACCGGAACACCACCGGAACACCGGAACACCACCATTTTGTTTGGGGTTAGGGTTTGGGGTTAGGATTGGGGGTTAGGGTTGGGGTTAGGGTTAGGATTGGGGGTTAGGGTTGGGGTTAGGGTTAGGTGGTGTTCCGGTGGTGTTCCGGCGGTGTTCCGGCGGTGTTCCGGTGTTCCGGTAGTCAGTGTTTTACTACATGCCCACTTGGAGACCGTCATGCATTTGCCCGCCGTTCAAGTTATGTATCATACAAAATCAAATCCGCCCGGCAAAAGAAGACAAATTTTTGCTAATTTTTCATCCAATATTCATCCAAATTTAACCAAAATTGAAACAATTTGTCCTTGCCGGACAATGTCCATTAGTCCCACAAATTTTCGTATTAATACATTTGATATTTTTTTAAGTTCTCGTGCCGGAAGACAAACACACTCACATACAAATGCGTATGAAAACATCACCTCCTGGCAGAGCGAATTATGCGTAGGTGATTTCATTATGGATTTTCAAGTGGCAATCAATGAAGTTTCAATATATATTGGCATGTTTACTTGATATGAGCAGAGTTGAACTGCATGACGGGAAATTCACCCAAGTTATTTCTATAATAATGAAGCTGGGACGAAATTGCATAAGAATTATCACTATTGCAAGCACCCTCGAAATATTTTAATTAGTTGCAATTGATGATGTAAACTTTTCATATGATGTAATATAACTATTCATATGATGTAAACTTTACTAATGTATTCTTAATATATACTTGTAACATAAGATATGTATTTTTATCTTTTGATCTATTAAAAAGACTTTTGAATTGAAAAAAAAAAAAAAGACTTTTGAATTACGACTGTATAATACTTTTATCTGTGTAATAGGTCTACGTTAGTCTTAATTTTTTTTTTAATGCAATATTTGAATATTTTTATGGTCAATAAATATTGCACCCATGCATGCACAATCCAAGTTAGTTAAATCAATATAATTAAATTTTCTTTTTAGATCTATAATGATTTTTGATTTGTTTAAAAATTTAGATTTGCAACCACAAGTCTGAAATCTTTCATTTACATTTAACCACTAAATCTCATTGACTATTTACTGAATTGTGGACGTGATTCTTTTTAAAGAAACCACTCATAGTATTACATGCAACGGCTGGTTAGTTTTGCAGATTACGTTCAGATTTTGCTGGTTAGGTTTGCTGTTAAAATTTTTCTTCTGAGCTATTATATGAATGCTAAGTACATTCTCAGCCATCAATCAATCAATCAATCCAAGCATTTATTTAAGCACGATGAAATTTACAGCATTGCTGATGTGGTCGTGCAGTTAAGATATTATCCTATAGTTAGTATATATTACAACATCCAAAGTATAAAATATTAATTAACCTATTTTGTTCCTAATTCGTCTCAATATTTCCTCTGTATTTCACTTTTAAAAGTGGCTATATTTTCTATAGCTTTCTGACTTTGGTTGTTTTCCAAAGAATTCCATAACACAGCAGCTTGATAAAATGTTGGTTTTTTCAAATCTTCAGTTTTTGGCTTTGGTAATAAAACTGTTTGTTCCCGTCTCAAATTATAACTATACTGTTGTGTTTTACTAAATACTGCAGAAGTGGCTTAGGCAAATGTCCATAATAGCACTTACTGTATATGCTGAAATTAATCACTTTTCAGAATAGATTTTTTAAGTGGTTTCCATTTTACTTTCGTGTCAACATCTATACTGTCGGCGTTTGCCAGGTCAACCCATAAATGATTCTGGCAGCTCGTACATGTATTTTCTCTAATTCGTCAAATATGTAACTGAGGGCATTCGCCGTATGTAACTGAGGGCAATACTACTTTATGGTAAAAGTCCGCTTTGGCTTGGGTAGGTAGAAAGTGTAGAGATTTTAGAAGGTTGAGTTTCTGTGCGAACGACTTTATTATGCACACAAAAATGTCCATGCCTTATGTATATATGGAAATTATAATCCCACTTCACTGAGATTCACCTGACCAGAGGTGAGATCTTACCCTAGCTGATCTGGGTATCTCGTACGAACACACAATGATGTTTTCCCATGAATTAGCAAGGACAATTTGTAAGCCGAAATATGTTTATTGAAATGTACTTGAACGATACTCAAGATGTTAAGTACTTTCTTGTCTTTGTGCTGAAAGGAATAATATATATATATTAATTTTGCACTTGTAGTGTCTGGCACTAACTTTTAGTAAGTTATATAGTACCTAGTATAAACACCTCCTGACTTGTGCTGAAAGATTAATATTCTTGATTTTTTGTCGGCTAAGCGGGGTTCAATATTAGCCTGGCCATATCGCGAAACGCGTCTGACAAGGATTTACATGACCTTGCTAGTGCTTGCTAACAATCAACACTTCCCGATGAAGGGCTTCCGCTCGAAAGGTCGATCCACAGTGCAGTTTTTTGTTATCGTCCCATGCAAATGACACTGGCACCGACCGTGCAGGAGATACAGTTATAACAATCAATTGTTGGTTCATCACGGCTTCCTTTTGACTCTCGTTCAATTCTACAATGTTTAGTACCTTTCTTCTAGTCTATGTTTTCGCAAACTATCACAGTGCATGATGGTAACAAGTATCATGCATATATTATATAGTATCATGCGCATATCATTGCGGTGCCTAAACGAAGTTTGTTAGTCTGCTGGTTTGTTAGTCTGTTATAGTTAAAGAGATTTCGAGTGTAATTTTTATACATTTATTAGACCTAACTAGGTGCAGTTGCGAAAAATGCAACTATATATATAGGCCCTTTGGCAGGAATCGAACCTGGACTCTGCATGTAGTCTCAGTTGGTTAGAGCGCTGCACCGGTTGGTTAGAACAGCCTATAGTTTTTGCTGCTCAGGTCTAATAAATGTATAAAAATTAAACTCGAAACTTCCATCTACAAACACTTTCGAAACGGCAACAAGAATTCAGAAAACATGTAAGAATCGAAAGCGGTCTAGAGATACATGCAATTGTAGGTCTAAAAGGCGATCTTCATAATTTTCCCTCACTAAGCTACAGTTCTATATTGACAACTTGAATACGAAACGTTTTCACTCGGTGGAATGCTAAGTTTAACCTAGACCTCTTTACCAGCCATCCTCTCTTGGTTCAGTGTTACTACTATGGGGCCAAGTAAAATTAAGGTTTAATTTCACGCGTGTTTTCAAAGTTTCGCCATTTGTGAAACCTTACTTTTACGAGGAACTATGCGATTACTTGTTATTATAATCATAAAGGGCAAAATTTATTCGTAAGTTAATTGTGAACTTGTCAAGTTCTTGAACCTCGTATGTCTCCATGCCTATTCGTCGATGTTTCTTAATGCCGCCCTGCCTGCCAATTTCTAAATACTCCAACCAATAAATTTGTACGTTTTCTAGTGTTCAAGTTTTCACTAGAAGTTTTTAATTCTTTAATAACATCATTATCCTCGACGACAAAGCGAGAAGCCATTGTTTTTATTGTTATTTATAGCAAGAAATTTCCCGCGCTTGCGTCTCAACCAATCAGGTACAAGTAATTTTGCCCTGAATTAAGAAAAAAATGCCCTCATTCGCCAATCATATTTGAGTAATTATATACATTTTGAAATCTAAAACTTTTTTTGTAAACCGGAAATGGTGTCATTGTTTACAAAAGACACACCCGCGATACTCCGAAGCTAAACTTTAATTATTGAAATTTTGCGAAAAAAAAAATTCAAGAAATTTTTAGGCAATCAGCGACATAGCAAGAGTACGCCACAATAAAGATTTGGCTAGTTGAGTTGTATACTTTACTTTGATTGACTGGCTAAAATTAATACTTCAACCGATGATTGGCCGGTACTGAAAATGGTGCGATTTTCGCAGAAGATGGTGCGATTAATGGGCTAATTGTTGGGAATTAATCGCACTATTTTTGACGAATCAGTTTGCTATGAACGCCATTGATTTCAAAATGAATATGATGAAGGACGAAACTTAAAGCACAGTTCAGCCTTTTGAATGATGGTTTTTAAGGCGCATTTTCAGCCCTTTTAATTGAAAAAACTAACTAGGAAAATCAATTATGCATAATTCAAGATCAGCCGAAACTCAATGTTCTTAACAATAAAAATGTTTCAAAATGTTAAAAAAAAATTAAGTTTGCTGATCTTGAATTATGCTTAATTGATTTTCCGGTTAGTTTTTTTCAATGAGAACTTATCATGGAAAGCACATATATCCCATGTTGCTCATAAAATTTCTAAATCTATTGGAATTATATATAGATCAAGTTTTTATCTCTTCAAATCAGCTTTGCGAATGCTCTACTTTGCTCTGGTATATCCATATCTTCAATATTGTATTACGGTATGGGGATCGACGTATTCAACTAATCTCAATCGCATTGTTGTTCTACAAAAACGTGTGTTACGAATCATTGATAAACAGGACTTCGGTGTGCATACCAGTCCTATTTTTGATGAACTTAAAATATTGAAATTCGAAGATGTCTATTTATTTAACCTCGGAAAGTTTATTTATCAATACAAACAAAAATTGTTTCCTGATGGTTTTGAATGTCCACTTTTAACTGTAAATCAAATTCACAATTATAATACCCGTAAATCAAGAACACTTAGCGTCCCTTATTGCAGGACAAATACTCGCCTATTTTCTGTCAATTATCAAGGACCAAAATTTTTCAATACGTTGAATCCCGATATACGTAATTCATCATCTATTTTTAGTTTTCAATCTAAGTTAAGATCGTTTCTTTTTTCTCGTTACATATAGTTTCAATATTTAGTAATTTGGTTCATTTCATTTTTACTCGAACATCTGTCTTTGCCCTTGTATCATGCACATGTTTCATTTAATCTAGCTGAAATCAATGAGGTAGCCCAAAGTATACAAGCCTGCATGATGGTTTCTATTTGGGTTCCTCACCACAATTATTTTTTTATGATATGTATGATTTTCTAGTATTTGTATTTTTTTATGGTGAACCAAATAAATTATTATTATTATTACTACAGAAGTAGAATTGCTCAAATTCATGAGTAAGTTTACTCAATTTCTTGAGTAAAGTTTTAAATTAGTTACTTGAGTAATAAATTTGAGTAATTTTACTCAATATTTTTAGTTAGTGTTTGAGTCAAATATTTTTTGCAATGTATCAAAATTTAAAATACTTTATCGATTTAATCTGTTGTGTAAGTATATAGGTAATAGTATGGTTTCAAGTGCAATTTGGAAAAAACATGCACGAGTGAGTTTTTCAAAGACGATTCGCTTGACACGCTTTGATAACATCTGTGTACTTACCTATATATATATATATATATATATATATATATATATATATATATATATATATATATATATATATATATATATATATATATATATATATATATACGCCATTTAAGAATTGTTTTCATTGCTTGTTACCAAACCTTTTCAGTCTATCTGTACGTGCTCCATGTACTTAAATTGTTATATTAACATACAATTTTTCATTGAAAGTCGTGTGCAAAAAGTCGTCAAAAAAGTGAAAATTTACATTGCTACTGGATGCCGCGCCATGTTGATTTTTCCTTCCTCGTTTTCAGGCTCTGCTCTTGTTTTGTTGATGGACCTAATGAACAAAAGTTTGATCTAGACAAGTCTAGACAAAAATTTCACCACAGCTTGAAAGAGCATCACAAAATTAGTAATATTCCAAAGTTTCGTTGCGAAATGTTGTAAAATGCGGATAATATAGCCCTGCGAAGTTTGCTGTTTTTCAGTCATTTTGTATTACGCACGGGAAATTGATACCTTTTTTCAGGAAGCGGTATCAATTTCCCGCGCGCAATACAAAATGACTGAAAAACGGCAAACTTTGCAGGGCTATATTATCCGCATTTTACAACATTTCGCAACGAAACTTTGCAATATTACTAATTTTGTGATGCTCTTTCAAGCTGTGGTGAACTTTTTGTCTAGATCAAAATTTTGTTCATTAGGTAATAGGTTCATTGCACTGCAGTAATTGCACAATGTGCAATTTCAAAAATAATTGTACTGCTCTTAGCCAATCAGAATTGAGTAATTTTTTTATCAGTATTATTAAGTTAGGTTAAACCACGGTTATTCAACATTTTCCAACGCAACTGTTTCAAAATATTTGCAGCATGCAATAACCAAAATCGCATGCAGTTTTGTCGACCTTTTACTTGATTTTTAAGTTTAACCCAAACATCAATGAAACATCAGACAATATAAGCTGCATTTCCATGTCCGTTTTTCCAACACAATTGAATAAAGTAGTACATATAGCAGTTTATATCATACCTGTTGTGTGAGTTGGAAGAGTTCCCTGTTTCTTTGCTCTTCTGATTCCTGGATAGAAATATAGGAATTTCAATGATGAGAATGAATTATTATAGAGATTTAACTTAACGGCATCATGGGCCCTCTCAATTACGAGCTTTCAAAGAGCAAGGCCCGTTGTGTACATCAATCGCTATTTTATAATTTTCTAAACGTAAACATACTTGGACTCCGACCAAGTCCCTTTGGTATGACTTTTAATTAACAGCACAGTACCTGTGGCTGCATTCGTGGATTCCATCTGATGTAGTATGACGTCCAAAGCTCTAGTCTTCTTAGACTTGCCACTGGAAATAAAACCTGTTTGCGGGAAAGTTGATTAGCTTTACTTATAAGCCTGCATATAACTGCGTTAATTTTCAATGAACGAATTCAGTGTTGTATTTAAACTAGTGCATGTTTCCTAAGTCAATATTGATCTACATGTCTTATATCCCTGCATGTGGTTTCCATTTAGTCATGTAGCAGACACAAAATAAGCATGTAAAAGTGGGCAATGTAATGGAGCCAGGCGTTTTACCACAGAATAGAGATTACGCCTACGTGACTATGAATTTGGTTCTGCATATATGTTTTCACGTGTATAATCAATAACAGTACAGTTTCTTGTACATTCTGAAAATATTACGATCATGAGTTTTTCAAAAACGTCAAATTGCACTGGTTTTCATAGTGTGTGAAAACGTACCTTACATCCTTTCTACAAATTGCACTCGAAACCACACTATTTATAACCTATACTAAATCTATATGCTGCTCAATTTATTATAACATAGCAATTCTTCATGCATATATATAATTTTGCCCAGCAATTCTACATGAATGAATTATGGACGTGCACACGTCTTTGAATCACCATGAAATATCTATAAACGCTTTAGGAACTTACGTGGTTGTGCAGATATGTTGCAAACAACGGATTCATGTAGCTCTCCATCTACAATGGAATAAAACATATCGATATATGGTATATGGTGTTGTGGGTCTAACATGAAGTCCTAAATTTTAACCTTAAAATTTAACCTCTGGCTCACGTAAACTCGTGGTTGGACCCCCTAAATTAATTAAAATCGTTTAACGTTAAAAAATACTACTGGTATATTGTTGTAGATGATACTCCAGATGGCAAAGATTAAATTTAGTTCTGCCATAAATATATATACATAGTTAAGATGAATAGGCAGATTTTTTTCATACAGTATAGCACGTCAGACATTTTCCATCTAACTGTCTGATTATATTTATGGCAGAGCTAAATTTAATCTTTGCCATCTGGAGTATCATCTACATCAATATACCAGTAGTATTTTATAACGTTAAACGATTTTAATTAATTTAGGGCGTCCAACCACGAGTTTACATGAGCCAGAGGTTAAATTTTAAGGTTAAAATTTAGGACTTCATGTTAGACCCACAACACCATATACCAAATATATCGGAGATATAAAGATATATAAAAATGTCTAGCCTTACTTCAACATACAGAATAGCATATTGGTGACAAAATGCGAATAAAACAACCTGGGTTAAAAAAAAACTTTTAAAGCTGTAACGGAAATTACTATACACCTTTTCAATATCTCTCTTCGTTGAAGATACTTCGGTTTATCTTATACATGGTGCCATAAAAAAGGTAATCCAATTAACGTCAGCATGTGCGCGTGCATGCGTTAGATATTGAGGTTATCGATAAAGTTTTTACACAACAAGAAAATTCAGGCTTATCATTATAAGTATCATTATAAGAGAAAATGGCCAAATACGAATCGAATAAAAATTCCCGCATTTTTACACCGTAACGGTTGGGAATTTTGTGAAAAACGTACTGAAAGTAACTCCCATTTGGATCTAAAATTCATGAATTTTAATTTAAAAAGCCCTAACATCTGGTCACTTCTGTTTTAAGCTTATTGCTTGGCATGATACTTTAGAAATTAACTGTTTTTTCTTTTCTTCTGCACTGCTATAATAATGCTCTTAGATGGAAAATGTGATTTCAATCGGCTGGTATTTGGTAATTTTTGCTTGAAATGAAACAAAGCTAAATTTACCATATAATCTTCATTACTGCATGTGCAAAAATAAAATGTGTGCACTTACAGTAAAACTGGATTATCTTTTCTATACACCCTGCATATTTGTTTGAAAGCAAATGTTCTCAGTCAGAACTCAAGTTGAGTCAACTTGGCGTAAAAATATCCTCCCTGGTGTATATTTATACCACATGCAAGTTTACACCTTTTTGGTGTAAATTCTGAAGCGAGATAATTTACACCAACTTGGTGTAAAAATACACTCACTGGTGTATATATTTACACTTGCGAATGTGTAAATTTACACTTTTTTGGTGTAAATACTGAGGCAGGAATTTACACCGTTTTTGGTGTTAGTACAACACTGGGAGATTTACGCCCGTGTTCTAAAAGCTCACTCACACTCACTGAGTGGAAGTTCAATCCGAGCTTCTCTTGAATGCCAATGCTATTTTTGAATAGCTGGTGGGTGAGTAATCAAATAGTAAGGTACGACACTAACCCTCCAGCTATTCAAAAGCAGCAATGACACTCGAGCGAAGCTCAGATTGAACCTCTACCTCATTGAGTGCGAGTGTGAGTGAGCTTTTAGAATACGGGCGTTAGAGTATATGATTTTACAGGCAGAGTATAAAAACTCTGAAATGCTGAAAAATTCTGACAAAATTTAACTATTCAAAACCAAAACAAACTTTCAGAAGTGTATATATATTCATTTGTTAACCCTGACAATTATCACCTAACCGATAACGTCATATTTTACATATCAGACAAAATTTTGGTCGATTTCAACTATATATTTTGTAGCCGATGGCCTTTGAATACTTTCTAAGCGGCTGTTTATATGGTCCCGCTTACCCAGGATTCGATGAAGTGTGGCGAATTTTGAGCAATTGAAATAAGTCGCACTTCATGGTCTAACAAATTGCTTGTTACAGATTGTATGAAATTCCATGTTTTAGACAAAAAAACAAATGTTGTTGAATGCTATTAATCGTCTTCTTCCACTACATAGCCCCTAGCGCGTTCCAACAATATTTAAAGTTGTCTAACTTTAGTTCAGGGCTGAAACACGTATTTCAATTGCTCAAAATACGTCACATTTCATTGAAACTATATAAACCGCCCCTAAGAATTTTATAAGAATAGCAAACTACTTACATCACTGTTAATGTACGACCATAGAGAACAGGTTTTGCTCCTTACTTCCTGAAAATAAAATAAGTAAAACTTTGTATAATTTGGTACGGGGTAATCCTTTATAGTATGTACACAACAAAGGGGGGAGGGAGAATCAGAATTTTTGTAGTGTTTACATACGCTAGCTTATTGTTTAATTGGCGTCATTTCTATTGCGCTTTCGGTACATGGGGAAAGGAGGGGAAAGAATTTTCGGAAATTTTGTGCACAAACTAAATGAACGGCCTCATGTCCAATACACACAAATGACACAGATTTTCAAGTTTGCAATGTTATATAATATACTGCGCACTAGTCAGGGGCGTAGTGAGTTCATAAATAATTATATAAGTGATACTGAATTAAATATTGACTATTCTATAAACGTATATTGGGAAAACGTAAACCGAGTCCGATTTCCGATATTTCATCTATATATTTTTTTATTCAAACATGTTTCGCATTGTCAAACAACGAAGAGAAGTAAAATTCCCATGCACTCGTATATTATGCAGGTATGCTTGACCACGAAGATTCCGACAACATAACAAATTTCCAATTTTCCGACCGGGTCTCAATTGCAATTTTCCGACGGGGTCTCAACAATAGGCCACTGGCACTAGTTCTTACCTCTTTTACCCTCTGGCAATCTGTATTACATAAGAATGTTCCAAACAAACAGCTAAAACAAAGAAAAAATACTTCGATTACATTAATCCCATTGTTAATTTAGGAAATTAAACTAACGAAAGGTTCAATTATTATACCGGATCTAAAATGTTTCCAAATTATCCTGCAGTAAGGCCAACATCACTACTATAGCTTTACAACCGAAGATCATCGACAAAAAGAACCAACACATTATCCATAATTATTATATGGCAAGCATCACTTCCGGTGAAATAGCGGACTGTGATTGGCTGACAAGCACTTTCAGCGGTCCATTATTTTCCCGTGATGGACCGGCGGTCCATTACGTAAAAACAAACGCATGCATTTTAAAACAAAACAGCAAAACTAATTGAAAATTTGAAAATTAGAATTTAATTTGTTATTAATAAAATATCTGCGAATGGTTTTTAGTGGAAAAGATGGCATTTTTTGTTTTCGTTCGACCAAATGTGTATCACGCTACTAATATGCATTTCAAATCATGCATTTCCTGGTTAGTTTCACGTACAAATGCCTATATAAATGCCATATTGCTTGGTACTGTACAAACAAATATCGGACCTCGGTCTTTTTGTACAAACCTCGCCCTACGGGCTCGGTTTGTTCAAAAGTTACCTCGGTCAGATATTTCTTTGTACAGACCTCGCACTTGGTTAATAAGAAGTTAGTAATTCAAAATTATTCTTAGCATGCATAGCAGATGACTGACTTTCAGACTGGTTTTGCTTTTTTCTCACATTACATACAAAATATATTTTTGTAAATCATAATATACATGTAAAAACAATACAAGGCTATATATACAGACCGGTAAATATCATTTCTTACTACGGCATGTATGTGGCTAATTATGCAGGAACAGAAAACGAGTGTAGTCGATCGAGTACCATGCAAGTCAGTCAAAATGGAACAATTTTTCCACCCTCGCTCTCCATATAGTCCATCAGTTTTGTTTGTTTTGGGTTTTGGTTTTGGTGTTTTGGTTTGGGTGTTTTGGGTTTGGGTGTTTTGGTGTTTTGGTTTGGGAGTTTTGGGTTTGTTTGTTTGTTTGGGTGTTTCGGGATTGTTTGTTTGTTTGTTTGTTTGTTTGTTTGTTTGGGTGTTTTGGGTTTGTTTGCTTGGGTGTTTTGGGTTTGTTTGTTTGCTTGGGTGTTTTGGGTTTGTTTCTGTTTGCTTGGGTGTTTTGGGTTTGTTTGTTTTTGTTTTTGTTTGGGTGTTTTGTGTTTGTTTGTTTGTTTGTTTGTTTGTTTGTTTGTTTGTTTGTTTGTTTGTTTTTTGTTTTTTTTTGTTTGTTTTGGGTTTGTTTGTTTGTCTGTTTTGGTTTGTTTGTTTGTCTGTTTTGGGTTTGTTTGTTTGTCTGTTTTGGGTCTGTCTGTCTGTCTGTCTGTCTGTCTGTCTGTCTGTCTGTCTGTCTGTCTGTCTGTCTGTCTGTCTGTCTGTCTGTCTGTCTGTCTGTCTGTCTGTCTGTCTGTTTGTTTGTTTGTTTGTCTGTTTGTTTGTTTGTTTGTTTGTTTGTTTGTTTGTTTGTTTGTTTGTTTGTTTGTTTGTTTGTTTGTTTGTTTGTTTGTTTGTTTGTTTGTTTGTTTGTTTGTTTGTTTGTTTGTTTGTTTGTTTGTTTGTTTGTTTGTTTGTTTGTTGGTTTGTTTGTTTGTTTGTTTGTTTGTTTGTTTGTTTGTTTGTTTGTTTGTTTGTTTGTTTGTTTGTTTGTTTGTTTGTTTCCATACCTGTACTGTAACCTTGCACAGTACTGAGGAATAGTAATGAAAAATGATAAGATTACCTGTGCAAATGATCAAGAATGGTAATGAGGAAATGCTCGTTGAATTCAAACGCACAGGGAAACTGGGAAAAAATTTAAAATGTTCAAAATCGAGCCATATCTTTACGGCTTTTGTTAGCGCACGTTAAGTTACTGAAACTACACTAGCAAAAATATCCATGTACCTGTCTCGTTATTTGCCAGACACAATCAATAAACTGTACAAAAACCGGAGATCGTTGATCGTCTGAATAATTCTTATCCCCATGACCACAGCGCTGAAAGAAATATAAGATCAACTAAGGGAAGAATTGGTATGATGCAGAATATAGTCGAGTTTGTATTTCGCTTAGCAATTTTCAAACCAACTACAAAAAGTAATAAATGTACCTGTGCAAATTTATGTCCGAAACTTAGCCATTCCTTCTCAATTAAAACCTGTAATGAAAGAAAGTGAAACTAATAAACTAAAACGAAAAACCTAGTCATTTAAGAACTTTGGGGCACAAAATTGCATTAATCATACCTCAAATCCAACAATCGTTCGATAATATGGATCCAACAACAACATGGAAAGCGCAGTAAGCTAAACCAATGTAAGTTACAGTTTAATCAAAGCTATAGCTTTTACTTAAATTATATTGTAACATGGAGGCAAACAGCCTATACACCATTTCGACGTTCTAGCGACGTTTTTGTCAACAGGAACGTCACCGAAAATTGGTACACCTAATTTTGGAAGCATTTTGCGTCATGGCGCTCGTGCATATAAGGAAGCAAAAATCTTATGTTTTGTCATATGTGTTGAAGATTACTACAATAATATTGTCATGGACTTGCTCGGGGTTTTTGAAACAAGGGGAAACACATGAAACACGTTTTGCGACTATACGTTGGTTGTGCGTAACTGAAAAGACGTACCGTCATTTTTCAAGAGACGTTAGATAGTCCTTCCACCCCCAAACACACCCCATAGCCCCAAAATACGGTGAAAAATTGTTTACATTGTGTACAAATTTGCCAAACTCTCCTTATATACGTCGTCAACAAGATGGCTGCATGCAGAAGTTAGGGAGTCATAGAGCGACATTACCATTATATAGCTTAAGGGGCTAGCTCCAAATTCAAATGTCAAAATATGCGAGTTAAAAATTCTGGAGTTACTGTACAGGTCAACTCCAGAACCATGTGTAACTCCACAGTAAATCGCTGTCAACTCAAAAAAAGTCTAAAAATAAGCCCAATTGAGTCAAAATAAGGCCAATTGAGCCAAATTCATGTTCACACATAAACCTATTTTACCACATGTGATACGGTACCTGTGCTGTTCTGTCCCAACCGTCACTACAGTGTACAACAACTGAGGTTCGACATCTGTCAACCAAATCAGCTATACGCACAGCGCCAGCTAAAATCAACTAAAATAGAGACTTCCGTATTAATGTCTAAAAGTATATTACATATATAATGCAAAATACAATGTTTTTGCATACGAAACGGTGTGACAGACACAAAGATCTGTGCATGTGAAAAATGAAAGATACGCGAATACTTCCCAATACAGTACACAAGTTCATTTTAAACAACTTACATTGTTCAACCAACCAATTAAACCATTGGGTTGGCCAAAAAAAGGACACAAAAATATCAATCTCTCTGCTTTTGCATAGAGGCAGCAGCTCAATCATGGCCGGATTTTGAGAGGAGCTGAGCACCTCCCCTGCGGTAATTTTGCACCTCCATTTGAGAAATTTCAAACGATGGATCAAAGTCAAAATTTGACTCTCACATTTAACAGTTAACTTCAATGATTTGTAATTGCATTCAGCGAGCTTTCCGGTAGCGTATTCGTTAAAGGCGTCCTTGACCTTTTTTCAGACTCTTTTTAATTCTCAAATTATTTATGAGACATTTACTGTCCTGGTTAGGGTTAGGGTTAGGGGTTTGTGATCAGTTTATTTTATAAAAATTCAACTTTAACTATGGGCACCTACAAAGAACACCCGGGATGTAGTGAAACCCTATATTTTCCCATTTCCCCAATTTACACGAAAATCCGGCCTTGGCCGGTCTGCTTTTAATTGTTCGGCTGTTTGATTCAGTAATGACTACAATATTTAGCATTACACCACGCTGCCTTATATTTTTTGTTGGATTATGAATTTCCCGACCTTGTACTTTTAAGAAACAAGAAAAATAGAAATGCTGCCCATCAGTTTTCATGTGTTATTACTTTTTTCCCATCCACCCATTTTTTAGAAAGTATTATAGACATTTATCATCTATAGACCTGGGCGAGGGGGATTCGGCGAAATATTACCCGAAGTGATATTTTCCAAGGGGCTTTGCCCTGAAGGAAATATCATCACTGAGGTGGAAATATCACTGAGGAGGAAATACCATCACCGAAAATTAAAAGCCTCCAAGTTGAGAATGTAAAACTTGCCACATACATTCGTGAATATACGATGTTTTATTTTCGGACTAACGCAAGTATCGTCGCTTTTCTTTCGAATCACATATCGTTTGGAATATTAATGACAACATTTTTCACAATTTGCTTCAAAATTTTGAAAAAGCCCCAGGTTTTACGTTTAAAATTTAATTATTATGGGGTTCCCCAGGGACATTGTCAAAAGGAACATTGTCAAAAGGAACGCAGGCTCGCTAATTGATAACGTAAGGCGTGATATCGCCATTAATTTCATGCTCACGTGCCACAAACTACGCTTCCTGATTGGACAATTTGAAGGTGAGGTATAATATTAGTATTTATTATATGGACAATGGTGTTTTACTGGAAACTAAAACACTCGTAGAACCCATACGTCACTATATCCGGGACCAGGTGCGCCCAGGTTCACCCCTGCTAGTGACATACGAAGTTTTCATTGTTGTTGTTTTGAAAATACAAATGGTCTTTGGTTCGTATTTAAAACGAAATTAACGTTGGAAATAAAACGAAAACATTTAAAAGACATCTTGAGATAAGTAAAATTTATTCTAGTATTGTTTGCACTATAATTTAAAAAAATATCGCTTTTACACTGGTCTTTCGCGTGCTTATTTAAATGTCGTCTTTGTGTGTATTTTTGTCACTCTGAATAAGTCCATATAATAAACAGAACATTAAACGCTTGCGAGAAGATATGGATTTATGTTCTCGTGTCAAAAACAATATCTCACTCGTTCGCTGCGCTCACTCGTGAGATATTGATTTTGCCACTCGAACATGAAATCCATATCTCTTTGCAACTGTCTAATATCCTCTATTTATTTTCGAGAAAATATTCACGGAACAAGTGCTCTAAGTGTAACTACCTTAATATGCTCCAAATAATGAGTAGCTTCAAGGTTTGCAAGCCAGTGAACATCATCAATTGATGGAAAACAAATATCTTTAAGCTTGCGCAAACTAAAAGGAAGAGTTCGGAATAATTAGCCTTCAAGCTCGGCAACTGGCCTCTGTAGCTCAATTGGTTAGAGCGCTGCAACGGAATCACAGGGCCGCAGGTTCAATTCCTTGCATTTTTCGCTTCTGTTCCTGGTTAGGTCTGATAAATGTACAGTATATAAATTTCTACTCGACAATTTCCATCTACAATACCCATATTATTCATTCGAGTGAGATGTCACAAAAATTTTGTAGTTATTAGCCTTTTAGTTTAGAATATTAGTTATTATACTTTGGAAGTTTACAACGCTTTTCATACGCGCCTGAGAAAAAATATAATAAAATATTGTATTATACCAAACTTGAGAATAATTTGTGAACATGCAAGTCTGCCAGGGTTCGTACATGTCAGGAAGAGTAAAATTCAAGGACTTTTCAAGGACATTCAAGGCCATGTATCGGCAAATACAAGGACTAAATACTGAAGAGAAGGCGTTAGAAATCAGCAAAATATGACGTTGAATTGTTCAAAACGTAACTTTATAATGAGGTCAGATATGAACATGCAAAATCAGTTCAACAAAATGTCCGTTTTGAATGTCAAACAATTTCAGAAAATATCCAAAAACTAAAGAAGAATTCAAGAAGAATTCAAGGACATTCAAGTACTTCTTTACAAATTCAAGGACATTCAAGGCCTTGATTTTTTGTTTTCAAATTCTAGGACATTCAAGTTTTGTACGAACCCTGGTCTGCGTAAATATTCGAACATTTTGAAATCTCGCTTAGTTTCTTTTAACGGTCTGCCCCAGCCATCGTCGGAGGTCTCCACTTATGACTGTGATCGCCAGAGACTGAATAACCTCATAAACATGAAACGTCCTCGATACCTCTCTCTCATAACATGAATATTTGCGATATCTAAAAAGATCAATTCTGTATTTTGATAAAATTCGTCACTTTCATAACCGCCTCCCTTAGCCTGAAACAAACAAACAAGACAGTTATTCGAAGCGCACGTTCTGTCATGAATGAAAGAATGCGTAAAAGAGCTTACGCGCAAAACAAAGTAGATCAAAACTATTCTCACAACACAAATTACCTGGTTGGCCACGGCGTTGATTTTTGGCCTTGCATCCATAATAAAGAGTTTATGACACTGTGGATTTGCCTCCAGGATATTCTGGAAAAAATAAATCATTTTCAACGTTAATGCATGTACACGTACGTGCACTGTCACTGACATTACCCCTCTCCCTAGATCTCTATAGCTTGTTGCAATGTTGACATTACTGACATTAGTAATTGAATATATGTCACGTGGGGCTAGAAATTAGAGTACTTTAGAAGCAAGAGGCAAAAGACCATGGAGTAATTCTAACGGGCCATTCACAAAGGATGTCCAAGCCGGGGGTTGGAAAATCAGGACAAACTCGGACATAGGAGGGGAGGGTTTTTTTTTAGCAATCTGGATGTCCGAATTTTAAAAAAGTTCAAAAACAAATTTCTTTTTGCCTCTATTTTGAACTCTCCGTCCCATTGTGAAATTGGCATTTTGGACACTTCATAATATTATCTAATTCTTTCCTTCAATGATAAATTCAACAGTGTCGTGAAATAATAGCTTTCTGCATTTATAACTCTTTTTGTATTCACATTTAGTTATAAAAAAAGTGCTACAAAAAGTAAGAAAAGTTTTTTACTCTTGACATATACAAGGTTGCGTGAGTTTTTGCGAGACATGGCGGATGTCCGGGGGGTTCTCTAATTCGGACAATGCCGGACAAGGGGGGAGTGGGTCTGAAAATGCATCATTTGGCTGGACATCCTTTGTGAATGGCCCCTAATACGTTCTATACTGCGTATAAAAGTTGTTTCATATCTATTGGTATAATTAAAGTGTTTAATATCGATACGAGATCACGAACATTATACACTTGTAAAACAATTCGGAATCTGGCGTGTCATATTTATCCTAATAAACCGTTTTCAGTAAGAGGTGGGGGGTTATTAGAATTATGACTTCAGAAGGGGAGGAGCCGTTATTAGAGTGATGACTTCGGCAGGATGTCCGTTTATTACCTTATTCGTACTTCACTTGTTGAGGCAATATTTCACGAAACTTTATTTTCGTGATTTCGGTAGGCGAAAATAGAAAACGGGCATTAAATTTCGCGAAGGTTTCTGAACAACATTTGATTTTCTATAGAAATCTGAACTACAACTTTCAAAACAAGTCAACATAAGGTTACTGTATATACTGTCTGTACGGTAGTCGGCAATCTCTTTACTCATCTCTATTGCCGATAACACGACAAATGCAAACTGTAGCTTAATACTAAGAATATTATTAAATAATTTGTAATTTATGTTGATATATGAGCTGTGCATGTTGTTATCATGAATTTTATGATTCAAATTTTTGACTAGGGTGTTTAATTGCGCGTGTGTAAATTTCGCGAAAAATACCTTTTTCAAAATGTGGGAAATACGTTAATTCTATATAGCCAGTGGCGAAGCCAGCCCGACAATTTGGTCATGCTATGCAATTTATAAACCATTATTATTATTCATTTCTTTACAAATTGATTGTTTTTACGGTCTATGAACACGGAAATATTTGCATGGCATGACCAAATTGTCGGGCTGGCTTCGCCACTGATATAGTCTAACCTGTAAATATTTCTCATCGTCTTTATTTCTCGTACCCCTTACTCCACACATGGGTTGACTACAGCGCGTAATTGACGCATTATTGACAGGATGTAGCCAAGAAAGAACCTACATGATAACAGCAATTAAGGTTGATTTCATCCAAAGTTTGTATAGTTTTTTTCTTTCATTTGAATACAGCATGTTACCTATGGCCTATGGATTTTGACCAATAAATATACAAATAAGATTTAACACGAAAGTGAGGCTCTAGGGGCAGCGCGGGAGCCTCGTTTTCGTGTTAAAGCTTATTTCCACATTTATTGGTCAAAATCCAAAATTCTTTTTTATGATTGTGTTGAAGGATGATGTTCTGCTTCTCTCCCCATCGCCCGTGAGAAGCAAACTTGAAATCCATTCCATTTAAGGTGGTCCTAAGTTGAACACAGTGTAGTTGTGACGTAATTATCGAAAGGGTGTATTAGGCAATAGCACAGAATAAAGATCAGTAACAGAAGGGCCACTCAGCGGTGCAACGTGTCCTCGTTTTTTTATGCAAAAATATGCAGTTTACTGGCCAGAAGGCGGAGCAGCCAGCCAGTACAGCGTGTTTATTGGCCAGAAAATGTCATTGACTGGCTAGGAAGATGGCGGCCAACATGCGTAATGCGACATGCGCGAGGACAGAAACTTCAAAGCTTCCGACGTAAGTGGCCCTTCTATATGGATCTTTATTCTATGGCAATAGCATGTTGGGAAACCCACGCGGATTTCACTGGTGGAAAATTTGAAGGATTTTCAAAGTTGAATAATTTTTTACTTTATTCTGTACACATGCAGTTAGGGGGGTGAAAAAGTAGAGGGCCATGCACGGGACCATTATTCCTAGAAAATATTTGGGGTCAGCCGAAAAGAAATAGAAAAAAAGATAACACGAATATTATCAAATCAAAAGAAATACTGTAAAACTGCAGTCAGCACATGTAGATGAGGTAGATCTGCAGATGTTGGCCAAGTGGCTCAATAGTGATGTCATCGAAGGAAAGTTGATAAACCATTCCAATCTATGTACGGGAGTGCAACTACCTTGATACAATAAACCTGGACACAATTTCATCATTTTGCTTTTATAAATATTGTTTATTCTACGGAAATAGAGCACTCAATATGACACCAATGACGCATAACGCGTCTCTATAATATAATATAAAAATACTGTACATCAGTGCATATACTGGATGTACTTGAGCGTCTAACGACGACGACCTTTCAAAAATATACACCTCAATGATGAAATTGTGAAAAACCTACCGGGATTCTTGACCTGCTCCTAAAGGGTGCAACTAGCTTCAAATCCTCGTCCGTGACATCTGTAGGAACTCCTACCTATAGATGTTAATATATATTCCAACAACGTCGATAAACCAACGACCTCATGCATACACTGCAAATGCCAAACTCAGATATCCCAATTAGGATATAGTGCGAGCAGTGGTGTAACTATACTTTTTTTGACCACTTGCCCTCAGGGCACGAAAATTAGTTGCCCTGGATAAAATTCACTTGCCATTAGACAATGGCCACTGGGGTACCTAGTTAGGACAACATGTCGACCCGTTCTCTCACTGCTCTCTATATGGCTATGTTATATTGCCTCAGATCTAGCTTTGGCCCGCAAAAAAATTTGGAATCAAGTACATGCACTACAGTATAAACAATTTATCCGATAATGAAAACATAAACTTAAAAATGTCCGGCATTTTGTGGCAAGGCAACTTGTCCAATCAGGCAAGCAAGATAAAACGTTTACTTGCCCGTCATGATATTCACTTGCCCCGGGCAAGCGGGCAAGAGTTAAGTTACACCTCTGGTGCGACGTTTCTACACTATAATTTTATTTTTAGTTACATTATTTTAAAGATGTGCATATAATGGTACTGTCCATTCGCAAGTGTCGGCTTTGTTTACATTTGCATCCTATTCAAAAGTGTCAGGCTGTCCTGGAAGAATTACACAGCTATACAGTCATTATACTGTAAGTGGGCATCGAAAATTTAACCTGAAACTGAAAGATGAATTTTGACACCATACAGGGTGTATAAAAAAAGTAGACAATTTTGAATCGGCTCCTAATTTCACAAATCCGTTCATTTTATGAAATTTTTGATAGATTGTTTGGGTACTTATATAATGCACAATAAACAAAAAAGTTCGAAAAGATAAATTTTCCAGAGAAGGGGGGAGGGGGTTCTTTTTAGCAGCATTAAAAATAGCTTGCGCGCGAAATTTAAAAGTTTAAAAACCTTAAAAACCATTTTGAGTTCATGGGCAAGAAATTTGTTATGTGTTTTATCAATGGTCCAAATATCAGAGAATTTACTCAATTTTAAGTCCCTTAAATAGCTGCTAAAACTTTCATTTTTTGGCTGCACCAATGCCTATATCACGCATGCTTAATTCATGCATGCATTTACCGAATTTGCATATTGTTATTTTACTTTTTTACAATAACAGCCATAACATTGGTTCGTCTAGACTAATTTTAGTAGTCCTGACTCCTGTTGTCAAATTTCATCTCTTATAGATAACATTTTTTTATTCTCACTATTAATAGCTAGCTGTACAAAAATCTGGGACATAACTACTGCATTTTTTCGGACCACTCTGTATTTATTTTGCAATTTGTTGCTTGCAGAGTAAGCAACAAAATGAAAGTAGTATATCCACGGAAATTCGCACTAATACAGTGCTGAACAAGGTTGGTAGTACAAATATTTAATGAACGCACTAGACGTTTATTAGATCATTTACGGCATAGGTTGAATACTGGGTCGGGCTATTCTATAAGGCAGATCAACACATATGTATACTTACTAAAGGTGGGTATGTATCGCAAAGCGCGTACTTGTCGTTTATTTTCGATATTCTCCAACAGTCTGTTGGTAAACCCTAAGAACGCGCGTTAAATAAAACAAAAAAATATATATTAGATTTAGACAAACGCCATGCACAATCCCATTGTCGTAGGTTTGTATACCTGTAGCACATTGAAATGAATAGAACTGGTACGCTACCTTCAAACCTAAAAGTAAAGTCTACTAGTAAGTTTTACCCGAATAAAGAATGTTTAAGCGCTGTTAAAAAGCTTTCTTTGTAAATTTTAAGCCGATTTTCAGAATACATATTCATGTTGACGGATGACGGTAGCGCAATCGTTAGAGCACGCGCCTTTCTCGCTACGGACTCATGCATGACACTTATGTGAAGAGTCAGTCAACGCTCTATAAGAAACATACTTGCAGGGAGGTGAGTCCGGGATTGGACGCACGGAGGGTGGCTGGAAGTCTCCCGAACTCACCGAGGTGGGTTCGGGAAACTTCCAGCCACCCAAGGTGCGTCCAATCCCGGACTCACCGAACCTGCAAGTATGTTTGGTTTTTATGATTTATCACATGCCATTTCGGTAAAAAGTACTGAAGAATTTTAGGATATACCGAGTTTCCTGTTTGGATAACGAACATTTTAGCCGCCAACATATTACGCAAACAAACAAACTTAGGCTTAAATTGAAGCTAAAAAATTCTCTACAATATGCCCTTATTCTTGAAAAGAGAAAATGCACACATTCCGCGGAAACATTGCCAAGACTTATAAACCTGCCCGAGCCGAACAAATTTCGGCGGCCATCTTTCTTCTCTTCCACTATGAATACAGAATAAAACAGTTAATTTATTTTTTCTTTAAATCTTCGTCTGAAATTTGTTCAAATCGCTTCATGATGGCCGCCGCCGAAACATCGACCTCGAACCCCCCTCCTAAGTCCTAAACATACGTCAGCAGGTGGGTTCGAGAGATTGAACGCACCTCCTCGTAGCCAATAGGAAAGCCGCTAATATGCTAGGTATGAGATAATACCGAAAGTCGTGGGTTTTCTCCGGGTACTCCGCTTTCCTCCCACAGGGTATGTTGACATTTATCCCCCTAACTGACCCTTCCACCGTAGCTGTGCTCCGTGATCAGACACGAGTCATAAGGTGGCTGCCATAGGCGTCCTTAGAAAGCCTTCGACTCGATCAGGTTGAGCTGCGTCCCTCGTAATTCAGCTTAGCTCTCAGCTGCAAGTAAGGATGATTAGCACAGCTCACTTACTTACAGGTGCTTAGTACTTACTTAATTGACTGCGCTCTTCGCATGCGTGAAAAAACTGAGACTGGCCTTCAAATTTGGCTTCAAATTTCCGGCTGAAGGTAGTTTTCCAGTTATATTCATTTCACTGGTGTAGACCCTTTGCACATGACGTCACAGCGCCGGCGACGATGCATCTGGAGGACAAATTAGCAATCTATGCATAATATAACTTTTGTAAACAAAGCAAATTTTGCAAAAGTTTATAATAATTTTGTATTAAAATGGTTCATTTTTGGGCTGTATGTGGTTGTTGTACCCGAACATATATTGTTAGGGAGCATCTGGAGGACACTCTAAGGATTTGTGACGTCAGTGCAAAGGGTCTATAGTAAATGCCAAGTTAATATCAGAGCACTTTCTTTTGTCTTTTGCTAATTATGTGCAGCACTATTATCCACATTCTCTATACGAACTCTCCCAACGAAAGGCGTTCCCACAACATCAAATTCTCTGCTTAAACTTTCCATCGTGAACGTTTTAAAACATTCGCATTACCTGTCGTTGCAAATCTCGTATTGCATCGTAGACGTCCCAGCCATTATCACGGAATTTCTCTTGTAATTTGAAGCAAAAGAACTCCTAAAAACGTGTACAGTCCACATGTACAATTTGAAATTTCATACATACCCAATAGTACGGTCGTTACGAGAGCTGACAACTCGTCAATCACAATTCACAAGTCGTTAACTGTCGTCACGAGTCGTGAAATCTATCAAAATTCACGAGTCGTTAACTATCGTCACGAGTTGTGAAATCTATCATAATTCACGAGTCGTTAACTGTCGTCACGAGTTGTGAAGTCAATAGGAATTCAAACGAGTCAACAACATTCATCACCAATTGTGAAATCACAAGTCGTTAACACTCGTCACCAGTTATGACATCAATTTCAATTCACGTACAGTAGCCGTTACGACTCGTCACGAGTTTTGAAAACAATCGCAATTCATAAGTCGATGCAACCAGAGTGGTCATGACTAATAACGTCGATAACTGACGTGTTGACATTAATAAGAAAACATAGAATCTGTGACTATTAGAGCCGAGTTCTTACTGCATGTAATGACATATTTCGAGTCCGAAAATAAGGATTGGATCAGTTGTACTCTGAGTTGTTAATTAAGTTAATTTAGAGGAATATCAATGGAAACAACTGTAAGGCATTGATTATTGAAATGACATCTCCATACTCCTAATCAGTTTTTTCAGTCTTAAGATGCAGGTCTTGTTTAGTTTCTTTTTCAAATTCGGGTCGCTCTGGCCATATCTTTACAATAGAATTTCTAATCGGTTGATTATGATAATAAAACAAATACACTATAATAAGTTATTTGAATCATATTTCCGAAGAACGACTGAACGAGTAAAAAATACTGACGATTTTTGTTCCAGAAAACCAATCAAAAACACGTAACGTGTTCACATTAGGTAGGTACTGTAGTTACTGACGACAAACGCGAAACTTAATCATGTACCCTACCTTTATATTTGGTAATGGGAATGCCATTTGCTAAAAAGAAAATAAAACATAAAGCACATTAATATGGCTTCATACAGTTCAGATGATAGTAGCTGTAGTTGGCAGTATCACAGTGAACAGGATTCTCAAAATAGATTTAGATGTTTTCATTATAAACTATGAAGAGTTATAGCCAGTGGCACTGAGGAGATTAAACTAATTACACACTTTGAACTGTACATTGTACCGTTCTAATTGCTCGATTTGTACAAAGTGATTTGCTTTTATATAACAACAACGGTCATTAATGCGACAATTAGTGTGCCGATGAATTAAATAATTTCACGGCAACTACTCAATCAAAGATGGCGGAAAGTGAAGAGTTTCGTGAGTTCAGTACCGAGGTTATCGAGGAGAATATCGTCGAATCTATACTAAAACACAAAAAGAGCAAATGCCCAGGGCTTTTCCGTGCTTTATATAGTAAGTTTGTGTTTGTCACTGAACGTCTTTGAGCAAAGCGGTGAAAGAGGGGCGAAGTCGAAAAAATACAACTCCAAATATAATACCACGAGTTGGCATTGTTTTATACCTTGGATATTTTGTCTGAATAAATGGCACTGAACTTTTTTCGCAACTCGCAAGTGTTTACTTGCTAAGCATTTACTCAAAATAAATATTTAAACGTTTAACACACTATTTCGTGTGTTGTCGGAATTTACTGTATATGCATGCACGAGTTCACGAACAAGAAACTCGAAATTAAATACTGCATTCGGGTTTGCCTCCTGTAGTATTAAATTTCTTGTTTTTGCAGCCATGTATGATGTATCAACTGTAAGTAGGTACAGTAATCATTATTATGATACGTTCAACATTGGGATGAAGTGTAGATACATGTATTACTATACAAAAACTTGCCCCTTATATTTGCGTGAATAAGTACCTGAAAAATATTATAATCACTTCCACTTCTTTGTTTGTGCTAGATAAAACATGAGCAGCCGATCAAAGCCGATCGGATGCGAATGTTTTATCGTACTTAAAAAATGACCCATCGGATGAGTTCATTGGCGAAGTAATTTTAAAAATAAACATGGTCTAAGCCGAGAAAATCAAAGCTGAAGTTTATGTAAATCACGACAAATCTTTATCCGATTTACAAACATTGATTAAACATTCATTTCTTTGGTATATTTTCCTCGTGAATTATTAATGAATTTTTTAATGATTACTTATAAACAAACTATGATCTTTTTGGAAGTTTAAACAAAGTCGTTCCATGTATCAGAAGAAATATTTGAACTTACCAAAAGTTTCTCATATACAATTCTTCGGGAATGATTTTCCTGTTTGTGTGCGAATCGAAGGTTTCTCATATCCTATAATATATAATTAGCACCATGCATGTATACATCGCTGGACATTACTATACGTTTTTCAGGGCAAAAAGGTCAGCTTGAAACTTTCATTGAATTGTTACTGCATGTTAAGAACCATACTGCATACTGATGTAACATAAACATTTTAAAAAATATATGTATAACATACCGAAAATTTAGTATAGTACGTAATGACAAGTGTATATAAGTAACAATAAAGTGTTCATATTAGTCGCCAGTGAGCTGGGCATCGACGGCCAATGGCCGCCGCTAAATTCGACGCCTGCAACTCTATGAGTTGTATAACACGACCAGGTTTACCTCCGAATGCTAATTTAAATATTAATTAAGATCTGTTAGTGCAGCTCATTTGGTAGAGCGCGAGTCTGACATTCTGGCGAGAGTATGTAGGCATTTTCTCAGCGTATGCAGTGATTACGCGGCATGTATGTACTAAACAAAGCTATACTTATAAATTTCATGTTCACCTGCCTTGCGAGATACCTGTACAAGATTTATAACTCTTCAAAGTGCTCAAGAAAAGGAACAGCTGTAGACAGTGACATAGTCTTTATTTGATGACATGTTCGCTTTTCATTAACTATTTTAATTTGCCACTCGGAATGGCGGAAGTCACCAAATACGTATTGTGACGTCACTTGCAAGAGCCCAATAGCCGCTTCAAGATCATTATCAACCCCTTACTGTCGATGCAATGGAAGTGTTGATAAAATATTGCATGAATTCATTTCCTCAAGTTGATCAATTCATACGAATTCAAATTTCTTTTTACTTCCTGTGCGTTTCCTATTGGTCAATTGGTTCTGAAACGAAATCTAATTGGTTCATCTAAAAGTAACAGGAAGTTGATCAATTTTCTATCAAATGAATTGATCAACTTGAGGAAAGGAATTGGTGCAATATTTTATCAACACTTCCATTACATCGACAGTAAAAGTATCTAAAACTCATTCGCAGAGAGGGTGTGAACTGTGAAGCTATGTATATCTTTTAAGTTACAGTACATATAGGGAAAACCATTTGCTTGATAATAAAGATGATTTCAACACCTACAGTAACAATTTGATTTGTAAATAATTTTACAGATACTCTCAATCAGATACTCTCAATCCAACCCTAGTTTCAGGTCAGTGCAAAAACCATACCGAAAGATCGTTCAGTACCTTGCAAAATATTTCCAAGCCATACGCATTTTCTCCACGGCTTGTAGATCCACCAACCTTCTCGACACGCAGTATTGTCCCAAGAGGACATTCGACAGCGTACTTCGGGTCCTGAAATTAAGAATTATATATACATGTATATAACATTTTAAAATATCGAAAACTGACTTTTACCCGGCACTTTTACAATTGCATCCAAACGTGCAGTCCAGGGGCTGAACTAGCCTCATCTGCAAGGAAGGGTGCAGGTTTTCCATGGGGTGGTGCATGAGGGGGCCTCACTACTCACTCTCCTCTGCAGTCTGCAACGCTACTGTCCCACATTACCATTATTTGAGATGTCAGAATCTGCACGTTCGCCGTTCTGTTACGTTTTACATAGCCTGCGAACAGGCTCTCAAGCTGAATTGAGAGCCTGCATCGATGACTAATGAATTCGAATATCTGCGTCTCAAATCGTGACGCGAAATTCTCATTGGTCAGATGCTATAATTTATATCTTTCCGCTGAGCTCTATATATGTCAACTGCAGCACTTAAATGCATAAAAAACACATTAAATGATCAAATTGGTTTTGGCCATCAAAGCACGAAATGATCTGATTTGAGAAAACAGTATTTAAAATATTTGAACTTTTGCTTGAATATCTTATATTTCGAAAAACAGTATAAACTGTACGGTCTAAATTTAGTTTGCACGGTCTAAATTTAGTTTGCACGAAAGTTGTAAACAACACCATATAAGGATAGGCATTCCATATTTGGAAAAACGAACGTTACGGGGCAGATATTCAAATTCATTCGTCATCAATGCAGGCTCTCAATTCAGCTTGAGAGCCTGTTCGCAGGCTACGTTTTACATTGTCTTTTGTTTGTGAAGTTTGTATCGGCATTTTATTACGCATGCGTGACTGTATACAGTTTTTTTTTATTAGCTTCGCCAACTAGGACAGGGTCACCACAACAGCATATGCCAATTACTGTGGGCCCTTTTTACCTAACCCACCCTGTCAACTTTTCCCTGTGGGAGGAAACCGGAGTACCCGGGGAAAACCCACGGCGTTCGGCAGAGCGTTGACTTTTACTCTTTTCACATGGGGACTGGGTTCGAGTCGCACTGAGAAAGTACTTAGTGAGATTCGAACCTGCAGCCTCAGAGGTGAAAGGCAAGTGCGCTAACCACTTGGCCACCGTAGTTGCTATAGCACAGTACAATAAATTTGCTTGTTACAGTACAGTATATTTGAAACTATGACTGTATAACAACCTCGACATGTTTAAAGCATTCTTAGTATTTTCTCGTGAGTTCACAAATCAATCAAGAAATTAGCCTGCGAGCAGGCTCTCTGGGTGAAAGAGAGCCTGCAAGGAAACCTATAACATTTACGTGCATGCGTCCAATATTTGGACGCAGAGCTCTGATTGGTTGATAACTGATTCAAATGAAGTGATTGACAAGCTTCCATAAACTACACTTCCAGTTTGTAAAACCGAGCAACGCAACGCTTCGGAATTGCGGCAATGTAGAGATAAAAGTGTCATGTATTTTGTATCCTTGTTGACTTTTTACTGTAAATTAATATAGTATTCATATAAAGATGAATACTAAAAGCTTGCATGCTTTATTGTGTCCTGGGCTTGTCTGACTCCTAGGCTACGAATAATTCTTGAGAAAGACTGAACA